AGCAGTTGAACATTGGATTGGATTGGAGTTCTATGTTACGCTATACCTGGTCAAAAACAGTAATATACGCGGCAGTGGAAACGGCACTGGTCGGCATCGTTCGGCATCGGCGGCCAATGGCCGCCCATTCACTTTCCAGTGGAATCCACTGGCAATCCATCCTCACATGGTCCGCCACTGGGGGTCAACAGCTTACGGTGGAGTTCAGTGGCCCATGATCACACGAAGATCCCGCAAGATGGCTTGTTTTCCAGTGGAATTTGGCAAGTTCCATTGGACTCTCAATCAGCGTGAGGGCCACTCCAGTGGAACCCATCAAGTTATATTGCACCTCACTGTATCCCAGTAGATGTTGCCTGAGCTCATGGTCCACTGGAGTCCAATGTTTACATTGCATTCCATTGGACGTTGCTGGCCACTCATAGCTTACATTGTGTTTTACCGTATTTTTCATGCATCTCATAACCACCTGATAGATAAACTGGATCACAATTTAATGTCTGAGGCAAATGAATTTAGTGAGGTGCCGTCAATTGAAACCCCTTGTCATATAGCATCCAAACGGACCGCAGATGCAGAAAACGGTGGATAAGAGGAGACATCAGTGGCTATGAAATTACTCGAACTTGAAATTGTTGATAATTAAACCCATTACTCCCCCGTTGCTTCTGCCCAGAACGTCGCAGATAGCTCTTGGTTTTTTTGAACCACTTGTTTCTGGACCTTCTCTGCAAAGATCATCATCAGCACATGCACAAAAAAATCGTAATTCACATCCGACATTTGGCGCAACTGGGATTCGAAGCCGTTGAGCCATTAATTCAACTGTTCCACGGTTTCGGTATTAAACGCCCGAGTTTGGTGACGGATGCCGTTCGCATCTTCTTCGACCAGAACCAGATCAGGTTGAGAACCATTCTTCGGTGCAGGACTGCACCATAACCGACAAAGAATATCGGTTGCTCGGTGACCGAGGTAGTGCCATGCGTCAACGATAAATTTGGTGCTAAGCCACGGATCATTCGGATTTTGGGTGACAATATGGCGAAGAAGATCACAGGCGTCGTTGTAAGCAATGAAACTGGCCTCGAATTCGGATGATGCTCCCAAATTGGATTGAGAATTGCCAAGACTTGGGGGGTGCTCTCCGAACGATAGCATTTCCCCCAGCCAATGGGAAAGCCACAAGCTAGTTGAATCGTTTGCAAGCAATAAGTGGTCTTTGCTTTAAAAGTGTGCACGACCTGATCCCCAGGAGTGTTTCCCAGAGCAGCCAGAGATATGTGGAGAGCTGGGCCATGACCACCCTGAGCCAGCGGCATTCATGGGCGGACACTGGTTTTCATATGGAGGCTATAACTAAAAAGACGAAGACAAATTCAATAAGAAAGTCCGTTGACCCTACTGACTTGGTACAAGTTGGCCATTGACCCTGCAGGTACTGACAAGATACAGTACCTGGTTGCCATCTGCCAACGAGATCCATATGGACCTGAAACAGGTACCAATCTACAGTGGAATCCAGCAGGACATAGTGGACTCCAGCAGGACATAGTGGACTCCACTGGAGTTCAGTGGATGAAGTGAACACCAAGGCCCAATGCGGACTGGTGGAGATTGCCGTCAGACGTTATCTTATCTTGGCCTACCCTGGGAAGCATCACCTAACAACACCCCTTGATATCTGCCAGTGGCTGCCAACGAACTTTCCACCGGTGGGTATATTACTCGCCTCGGGACGGTGATGGATGATTAATCGATGATTGGAATCTCAATCTACGTGACACGTTGTGACCGACATCACCATCCCCGGCGATCATCCGGCAATGCAATCGTTTTCGTTTCTGACGTTTTCATTTTCGTTTCTGGTGCACACCCGCGGTAAACACAAGACTATATACACGGCCAAATGGAAATCTTGTGAATCCGTATGATCAGATGATTTAGTGGTTCCGTCCGATGAATTCTTATGTTTCTAATAATTTATTCTTACGGTAGAACTAACAATCATTTTCTTCGGACGTCGTTAAGACATTTCTTACGGATACCCTGAGATATGTCATGTCGTAAGAACGACTTGCGGAATCTTAACGCACCGGCACGGCAATGGAAGTAACCGACTTCCTAAAGGAGCAGATTGACCGATAATCTTGGATCATTCAATCGTGCCTCGAGGTTTGTTCGAGGCTGTTGAAGTGGCTCTCGTTCTCTCTACCACTGCTAGCACAGGATACAATGCACCCACATGGCAAAACACAGACTTTGGTGGGCACCAAGCCTTTGCCCAAGCTTTTACAGACCCCTATTCTCCGGCGGGCCGTTGTGCTCAAGCAGCGCACTGTCCATCGATGGAGACAGCATATGTTTCTGGGCAGAAAGCACGCTAAACATGCATTTCTACACACATCCTTGCTGTGTAACTACTGGCTCTCTTCAATTGCAGTCTTGTCGTGCTTTCTTTCAGCTGCTTGGGGACATTCAATAGCCGACACTGGGACCTCGCCGACAGCAATCATTGTAGCAATATTTTTCCCTTTAGATTTTTTAAGGTTATTCATTGCACTCCTTGGTATATCTTATCACAGAAACTCTTGAATGGAATCTAACAGAGAAGTTGCAGCTGCACGCAGTTCACAAATGAAGTCTTCAATTCATGCCCCAGTTGTTTCCTCCAGCACACCTGGAGATGCAGAGACAAAGAAATACCGCATTACAGTCCTTGGCCCATTCCCGAAGCCTGAATCCTTGGGTATGGTCTTTTCTGCTGTCGATATGTGAAGGATTCAAAAGACATTCCATAGAAATGGCTTCTGGAAGCACAGTCAAAGATATTGTGCACGAGATGAGACGCCGACACTTGATTTATGGTAATTTCCCATGATTGCCGAGGAATGAACACTTCAGAAAATGAACACTTGAGGTGACGCGTGACACCCTATGAACACTTAGTCTCTCCTAGACAGACGCTACAACACAAGGCAACCTCGTACCTCGGCGTGTTGAAGTCTGTTACTTACCGCGGTGTCCCGATCGGGTCAAAATCTTATTACATAATCACAACCCATTGAAAAAATGCTCGACGAGACTGGGACCTGCTTTATTCATACAAGGATTACGTAGAACTGATTGCCTATGGTTGCCATTGAGTTGAGGCGCTTCCTGAAAATTTCAGTGCTCATATGTGACCGTCAACGATTTTTCTTTCTGGTTGCTGACAAATCAGATCAAAAATCGCACACCGTTAACATGAGGATTCCGTTTTGATGTTTAAAATTTTGAGGACACAGAACCTCAAGGCACACACATTGGGATGATGGAGGGACATTATAAACAGCTACAGGAATAAAGGACAACTCGTCCGCGGTCATTTGAACTCTATTTGAATTGCTCAATCCCGGCGGTTGAACTTATTGATCTCGGGATTGTGCAAAGAGGTGACTCAGAAAAGCTCCACATCCTGCAGAAAGTTTTTTTCTCACCTGCAATTAGGATCAATATTTCGCAAAGGCGGCAGCCATGGATGCAGCCTGTGCGGCTAGGGTTGAACCAGAGCGCCCCATCCAACACCTGGGGAAGCGCCGCTTTGATGTTGTGCGTGACGCCGCGAAGGCTGCAATGGTTTCAGAAGTGAGGGACAAATTGCAGAAACTGGGCATATCCGATGACGATGCAGATCACAATAAATCCGAGTAATAGAGCAGCTGCTCAGTTATCAATCCCAACAGTAGCACTAATTTAATCCATACAAAGTTCGCGACCGTGAATATACTGTAATGCCCAATCTAATGTCGCAGGCTAAGTTGGATCTCCCTTGGATTCCGGATCCAGACCACCAGAAAAAGCTCGCGTTTGGTACCTTGGAGGAACAGGCGGCCATTCTACAGCTAATCCAGCAGGCAACTAGGAAAATCGATACCCTACGAGGACAAGTGAATTGTCTCCGGCGGAGTCAGCTTGCTGTAGCCCCGAACCTATTGCCCTCGCCACAATCCTTTGTATTATCAAACGCGTGACTCCATTATAATATTGTCTTACATTTACAAACGCGTGATCCTAGTTGTTGACACAATCCTTTGTATTTTCAAACGCTTGACCCTCTTGCCCTCACCACAATTCTTTGCATTTCCAAACACCTTCAATTCCAGTGCTGTCCCAGAGCCATTTTTTTGAGGCATTGACCCACAATGGTTGACCATTTCAATTCAATTCAATTCATGTTCCATTATCCTCACTGCGAGCCGGCTTCGGCTCATGTCAGAGTCTAGGTACATCAACTGTATCACTAACATTCCGGTCATTTTCTGCTATTCAGATTCTCCTCTGAAGCATTATTGACCTCTCCAGCAGCCAATGAGTGGTTTATATTTTCAAACGCGTGACCCCATTGCATTCGCCACACTCTTTCAAACACTTCCAATTCCAGCACCGTCCCAGAGCCATTTTTTGAGGTGTCGACACGCAATAGATAGTCCTGGCCATTCCGGTCATTTTCAGCTATTCAAATTCCTCTCGGATGCATTATTAACTTCTCCTGTGGCCAATCAGCGCTTTACATTTCATTTTCAAACGCGTTACCCTATTGCCATCGCCACAATCCTGTGCTTTTTCAAACACTTTCAATTTCAGTGCCATCCCAGCGCCTTTTTTTGAAGCGTCGACCCGCAATGTTTCTGCATTTTACCTCTTCCCGGTGGAGGAGAGGAATGAGTGTTCAATTTCTGGTCGAATCATACTCTGGCCAGGTGAATGCACCCTCCAACACGTGGACAGACATTTTAACCCCAGGTGAACCACGTGGAATATTTGCTGAATTTTCTGGCTGTGCGCATATTTTACCTCTTCCCAGTGGAGAAGTGGAATGAGGGTTCATTCTCTCGATTCATATTCTGGCTAGGTGAATGCATCCTCCAACATGCGGACAGAAAATTTAACCCTGGCGAACTATGTTGTAGAATATTTTTTGAATTTTGTGGCTGTGCACATATTTTATCCCTGCCGATGACCACAGAGTGGTTAGAGCTCACTCCAGTACAAATGGAGAGGTCCCAGGTTCGATTCCTGGTAGAGCCATCTTTTGGATCTTTTCACGTCAGATCTCATTCCTGCCTTATTACCGGCTCAATCTTTCCTAGCACAGGTATTAGACCTCTATCGTTGTTTGCCTAGTTGTAGGCACGCTGACATTGGAGATCGTTTCAAATCGGATGACAGTGGAATTTTGCTGCGCGATGGAGTTTCAAACGCACCGCGCTTAGAAAATCTCTTTAAAGTGGTACATTGTAACGGATGAACAATATCTTTAGTTGCAAATGTAGCCCGCTTCAAAATTTTAATGGAATTCATTTCGAAAACATAATCGTCACGACTGACACCCTACAATATGGCCTGGAGAGCGTACTGAACCATGCATATTTAAGTTCGAGAAATTGCGCACTGGTTACCTTGAGTTGACAGGCACCGCTACCACTGGCCCCTATAATGTTTTCGGATTTGACGATTTTAATAGGATTAGCACAGCCACGACTGGCCCCCTACTCAAACTGTAATAAGGGTAGGTTTGACAGGAGCGGTGGGGGGATATTACGGTCCGGGTGATGTGTTCATGAGCGCACTTCTGCTTGGGGAAATCGAGCGCCGAAAGCTGATTGAAGTTGACGAGCACATAGTTTGGGAGAAGCATGTGACCATGGATCCTGTCCAAAGAAAGAAGATTTATCTTTCCGAATTCGGGTTATGTTGGCGCCCTGAACATTGGATGGCCCTGACCAGGACCCTTTGTATGTTCCTTGTTTTTCCCTTCGATGAACGTGGTGATCGCCCCTGGGTTGCAAGGAGACTAATATTCTTTGTTGCCATAAACTGCGCCTGGTGGTATAGGCAAGATAATATTAGCTACTGTCAAATGCTCAATCAGCTGCACACTATAACCCTCAGAGGGTAATATTACATCCTAGAGCAGGTGAGCCCTAAACCAATGTGTGCGACAAGCTGACTCCTAGATCCCTCAGTCAGTAATATTATAAAAATATTATTATTACCCAGGTCTACCTTCTCCCGAGATTGAAGGCGAATAATCTGGAGCAGGCTCGCGGAGATCGACAAGGAGGTCCAGCGTGCAGAGAACCACCCTTTCGACCACCTACCTCTCGCCTGGAAGAATGCGATGCACACCGCAGGATGTAAGACTGAATTTTTGCATGAGCGCGAGTCATTTAAACATCAAAACAAAAACCGTACCGGCGCCGAGCAGAATATAGTCACCAACTAAAGCCTTGTTGATGAATGTGGTAGCGACGGCAGCCCCGGCAAGTAGTGCGGCGCTCAAAACGGGCTCGTCGTCCTCGTGGTTCTTGGCGGAGTCGGTGAGAGTTACCTCCATCAGTTTTTACAATGGTGAAACTTTAGATATAGTCGGGACACTCTTCTTGGAGAATTCCAGTGTAACGAGACGAAGGACCTAAGACATCGTGAGTGATTGAGTTCTCGCGGCTTACCTCAAGGGCCTTCACAAGCTTGTCAACAAACTCCCAATCCCATTGTCTGACCGAATATCGGAAAGGCAATGTTCGACTCAACGCACATGCAAATAAAATGCTAGATTGAATGAAAAGGCATTATGATATGAAATACGCGGAAAGAGGATATACACACCACATATGTCCGTGCTAGACAGGCGGTGACAATTGGCGGCACTATCCAATTCGAAATCTGAAAGGATTGAAAGATGTAATGCGAGAAAAAGATCAAGAATATCACCGGCCCGAGGCGACTGCAATGTGTATGCAGAGGAACAGATCTGAGTTAATCAATAAGATGAAGCTAACATTATGTGGGTGATGTGACCGTGGTCAACTACGAAACTGCGAAATATGACAATAACATGAACACAGCAGAGCAGCGAAAGTGGTGTGGGATCCCACCAAGTTAAGCCACGCCATTTTCACCGATGGAGAGTGCCCAAGGACTCTCAGGGGAGATGAGCCAGCAGGGCTCGCAGCGGGAGGGTGGAAGCGGAGGAGAAAACCCAATATGATAGCCGACTACGGACATCTGGACCTAATACAACCAAGCTAAGCTACGCGCTGTCAACCACGCCACACCGAGCAACCGGAAGAGCAGCCAGAAAGTTGCATGAACTCACTGAGTTACACCCTATCATATCCGGGTTGCGAGGCTCGAGATCTACATAATAGTGATCAGTGCGCACTGGTACCAGCACGGGAGCAAAGCACTATACTCACCAAGGTGTAATGCTGCATGCCAGGACGTGGCCCACAGCTCGATGTTGGCTCGGGTACTGAACACTGAGCTCTAGGAATATTGAGGCTGCAGGTGATCGTATAGAACTTGACTTAGCAAGAGAGAAAGATGGCAAGAGCCATAGTAAAATTTGAGATGTGGTTTGAATAAGCAGGATGGGTAGCTTGAATGATTTGAACGACTTGACAGATGAAATGTATACTGAACATGCAAGAGGATATAGGCTGCTGGCGCCAGGATGGTGGAAAAAGATCAGGAAGAAAGCCGGACCCAGTCACCAGGATCAAGCAGAAAATGACTAGGTTGACAGCTCTTGGCAGGGTTCTCTGTGCTCATATTCGTGTGGAGCACGGACTTGTAGTGAGGCAGAATGAGTTGACCGAGGTGGGGAGGAAGATGGGGGGAGAGGGAGAAAGCTGACGTCTTCGATGTGGCGGGATCAACATCAGGACGGGCGCTGATTTCATGATTGGCGACAACATCCAGACAAAAAGTGAATTTAGACGACTGGAGAGAATCGAAAACACGGCGCCGAGGCCCAGATTACAAACGAGAACCAAACAAGAACAACTTTATAAAAATTTGGCGGAGACTGTGTTAATTAGGGCGCTATAAGACCCACTACCTAAAGTTAGTGGGCATAAACAAGAACAACTTCAGAAGCCCCTCCCTTGCCGCACTCACTGGGACCTCAATTCTTGCCCAATCTTCTTGCCAGTAGGCGCGTTCGAACGCCATTTGAAGCCGCTTTCCATACAAGGTAGTCTCAGTTTCTAATTGCACATTTTTTCTTTCGACCTAATTCGGCTCCAGCGCGCTTCAGCCGCCATCTTATACTTGCCTTTCCTAGTCCAATTCTTGTCCAATTCTCCTCAAATTAGGTGCGTTCTAGGCATTTCGTGCCCCTATCTGACAGTGCGCCTCATTTCCCGCAGGTCGCAGCTACCCAGAACCTATTTTACGTGCGCGGACCGGGAAGACGAGGGAATGGAATTAACATATTGGACATGTTGGGCGGAGGGACCAGCACGTTGGGAGCGGCCATCGGAGCGGGAGGAGCAGCAGGTCGAAGAAGACTCAGAATCTCAGGTGGAAAATTGAAATTGATCTGGGGCGCAGCTGGGGCGACCTGTTCCTTTATTTCGAGGCGTCTCCGCAAGAGGGGGGATTGGGAAGCGCGAGAGTATTGCGCAACTCGGTCAAATAACTGGTTATTAGGCGGTGTTTCAAGGCCCGCAAATGCCTTGCCCTTCAACTACCCCATGCGGAAATCAGTGTTGCTCATATAGAAGTAATTGTATATAGCGCACCATGGCGGCAGCCCAACTCTCGAATATATCAGCTCAAATCGGCAGAACAGAGGCTCCATAACGCGGCTAGAATGAGGAGAATAGAAGCCAAATTGGCCAAGAAAGGAGCTGAAAGAGACAACGCGTCCTGGGCGCGCACGTAAAATAGGTTCTGGGTAGCTGCGACCTGCGGGAAATGAGGCGCACTGTCAGATAGGGGCACGAAATGCCTAGAACGCACCTAATTTGAGGAGAATTGGACAAGAATTGGACTAGGAAAGGCAAGTATAAGATGGCGGCTGAAGCGCGCTGGAGCCGAATTAGGTCGAAAGAAAAAATGTGCAATTAGAAACTGAGACTACCTTGTATGGAAAGCGGCTTCAAATGGCGTTCGAACGCGCCTACTGGCAAGAAGATTGGGCAAGAATTGAGGTCCCAGTGAGTGCGGCAAGGGAGGGGCTTCTGAAGTTGTTCTTGTTTATAAAATGATCGGAGGTGCCATTACTTTCGCAAAGAGCTGTAATCCGGTCGATTGCCGGGCTCATTCCTCGTTCATTTCTAGACCGATTTTCGCGATTCAGGTGCCGTTCGACCGGCATTAAGGAGCGCTTTCGACTCATACCAAATTCTGTGCGTACTGTAGCATTTCGTTCAATTCTAACGGGCTGTGACCCGTGACCGAAAAATTCGAACTTTGGTTTTCGTAGATCGGCCAGGTGGACCGTGACACTCAAAAAAAAAATCGTATATGCGCCGAAAATTGCCGGGCCTTCTCAGGAAGTTGTAGAATCATCAGCTTTAAGAATAAGCAGGCAACACAGATCAATATGGAAAAATAACACCGAAAGCGGATATTACATCTTTTTTTGCAATCCCGCCGCCCCCACCGCAATGAGTGGCCTCAAAATAATACGCGGTCCACAGATCATGTCAAAATTATCATTCCATGAGAGCGCCGTGGCGTTTCGAACTGTACCCGCCCTGCGCGCGCGAAAATTTGATTTTTTTGAGCCATTTCTCGCCCATTTTGTGACTTGTTTTGGATATTGGAAGATCCCTTCGGTGACCCGTGACATGTACGAAAATTTTCGTATATTTTGGCCGCCGTGACGCGTGACATACGAATTGAATGAAATGGTACAGTAATTTGGAAAATTCTAGCGCCCAATTTTTGCCTCAAGTGATTTGAACCTCAACTTTGAATCTCTCCTATTCAGTCAAATCTCACTCAATTTACATAAAACTGGAAGATTCTTGAAGGGTGTATGAAGGCATACATTTATTTTCTAAAAGAAAATGTTTTCTCACCAAAATGTGTTCACTGTGAGTGATTTCACAGACAGAAGGGAAAACAGCCTTGCTAATGGCCCCAAAGCACATAACACAACATATGTCGGCATAGGAATGGTTGCCTCACCTACAGTTCTCAAACGCATCCAGTCTCAAGCAAATCCATTCAGAACTGATTGAGCAATGAGTGCACCAGGATACGGCTGGAAACACCTAGGGCCAATTTTTATG